TATATAAAAGTTCTTTTCGTTACTCTGATGCTGACCAATATCAGCCGTTTATCATTTTGATTACTTGATTGATTGCTTGATGGCTCATTTTCGTGATCAATAATCTGATTGCTGCAATGCTGAAGAAATATTCGAAATGAAAATCGATCACTGCGATATTTTGTCAGTTATTTTGAGAAACACACAAATCTTCAATCATTTAGGAATGCTGAAATCAATCATGAATTCATGCTCACGTGAATTATTCTCTTTTCAGCAAGATGCTCTTGAGAAATCGTGGTTAAGTTGGTCGGGCGCACGTGAAATCTACAAGTATTCATCGAGATCCTGGAACCTTAGACGTATCTCGCTGCATAAAATCCCAAAACGAAGGTATAAAAGGGAGTCCATTCTGCTTGTTGGCTTCAAATTTTAATTTACACACTATTGAATCAGAACTGATGTAAGATGAATGAATCAAGCAATGCGTTTGTACAATAGATGTAATTTGACCATCTGGTCATTCGAACATAACGATTGAGAAGAACTCAGTAGTATCTTTAGTCAGTATCTTGAGTCAGTAGTATCTTAAAAGAATTTTTTGCCATGTTTCGTTACTGGGCCATCAGTACGTGATTCGGTGACCATAACCGTTGCAGAATTCATGCATCTCGCTCGTTCGCTTATGTGATGATGTGTGAATTTGGTAGTATATTGCATCCATCGAATCGACTGCAAGCGTTGGATATGTGCGAACGATTAAGAGTTCGTAACTGCGGATATATCTCCCTATATCAGATAAGTTCTTATCGTCTCTTGTCGGCTATCCATCTTCATGACAATTTTTTTGTCGGATTTTGCCCAATTTCTATCATCGGACTTCTACTCGAATCAATCATTCATTAGATTACATCGAAGTTTTTGTTCTTTTTCAAAATCTCAACAGTTCGTGTGAATTGATAAAGATCCATTACACCTTCTTAATATGGTGATTTTTATTTGTGTTGTTTTAAGTGCAGTGG